TGACCAGGTTCTTGTTTGTATGTGGCTAAAAAGATGGCGTGCATACACGATATTTTTCGGGCGGATGTAAAGTTTTTCCAGCAAGGTTATCGCAGAACCGTAGTCGCTGCATTCTGCAGTGAAGTCATACACTGTATGGTCGATGTGACGAATGAGAGTTTCCACTTTATTTAAACCTTCAGGTTTGATTGAGTTAATGTAAGCTTTGAAAGTACGAAACCAATGAATCCATCGTTTCATGCCATCTGATGAGTGAGGATCAGCATCAAAAACCGTAGGTCGGAGAATATGATCCATTCGTTTTTATTAGACGATTAAATTGTTGCGAGAGTCGAGTAGTTCCAGGACGGGATTAGAAAGGAGACAGAATAGGAAGACGTAATGTACGCTTTAATCGTCTAATAACTGTAGTACATGAGCTGAAAATAGAGTGAGAATCACGAGTTAATGAGTTATGCAAAGGTGTGGGTTATATAGTCATGACAACTTTCCGTTCAGTAGCCTCGTGCGTTAATCAGCAATCTCAAAGGCTCGCATCCAGAAATTCGAGAGGTCAATGCGAGTCGCATCGTTTCGGTAGCTTGCACGTAACTTCAAACGTCCTGGTGACCTGGAATCTCCAACCAAAATGCATTGATGTTTGTTCCAGCCACAATGGATTGTTACTCCGGCAGGTGGTCGTTACTAAGTCAGTCAACTTTTTTAGGTTATCCTGTTCGATGTTGCAACGCATAAGTTCACAGAAAGGAGGCATTAGAAAACTCTTCACTTTCTGAAACTTTTATTCGTCGGCTCAGTGCGCAGCATATTGTTTGTGTGGTAACTACACGAAACATCTTGTGCAGTACCAGTGTGTTTCTTACCTGCATGAGGAGCAGTCGTCTTCGTGGATATTCTAGTGCAACGAAACCTCTGGCAGACTCGAGCCGCATCGCTTCGGTATCTCTCCACTTTTGTTCGGAAGAAAGCCTTCAGTATTGCCGAATTACTCTCCAGATGATTGTGAGAAAGAATTTTAGGGAGCCATGGAACCACCTTCGCAGTATGATGACGGGTCTGTCAGTTAGAAGTCCTACCTTATTCAATATAACCCATAACCCTTTCTTGCATGACACAGATTGCTTTCGAATCATCCACTGGATCTGACCGGACTTTATGTCACTTCTGACTTATATTATATTCCCACTGGTTTCATTACAATCAGTTGCTTATCTAATTTAGAGTGTTGCTCCATAAGAGAAATATCTCCAAAAACAAACCGTGTCGTCGTTCACTGTTGGCAAAAGATCTGTGTCATCCCCCTAGAATAAGCTATCAAAAAGGGACGTTATACACTCTCATTTTCGGTATAGGTATTTCTGCAACAGTTCGTCATACGTTGCTAAAAGCAATCTAAAAAATAGGCAGATAAATCTCAGTGTTCCAGATACTATACACAAACTTACCAACTAAGGAGCACTCTTCTTTGTTTGCAGTATGGTTGCCCTCCTTGTTTCTGGTCATTGGAGAATGTTCATTAATTTTCCTCACGCTGTGGTCATATAGAGTCTGTTCAGTCAAATTAAACTAAGCCGGTTAGCACTGTGTAGCTGTTCCAGTCCTTTTTTAGCAATGTCAATACTACTTGTTTCACGAATTCCTAAGGACCAGAATCTGAAGAGTAAGTAGAATTGACACTCAGTTGTGATCAATAGAAACCGATTCCTAATCGCGCGCAGTTGGTTCATCACGTGCGGACATCCTACCTTACTTCCCAAACTGATTGACTGACTATCTCGTGCATAGCTTGCGTATCTTCAAAGCTTATTGTTGGCCGTTCGAAGTGTTACTTGGGTTGCGAACTAGTTGATTAATCTCGGTCAGGACTGCCTTAGTGCTGCTTAATGCTTCTCGTTTTTCAGATTAAGCTGGCATCGTACTTGGGTAGATCCTATATGGTTCAATTCACCAGTGTGGAGAGTTGGAAGATAGTTGTGTGATTTTCCCAACCCTGAATTCAGTCGGCTCCCTTGAACCATTTGGCCGCAGCCGTTCGGATTGGACATGGCAATAAGAACAACACTGTTTGGGGGTTGGATTCCCTTCTTTAAATCTTGATTGCTGCAGCACGTGTAAATCAGAGGAAGATACAACAAGTTATAGCATCACCTGCTGCTTTTCTGCAGCTGCTCTACTTATACAAAACTAAAATGCAACGTGACTACTCGGTAAAGCTGTGAGTGACTTTCGGCTGTTTCTGAGGTTAGGGCACCGGCTTGAATGTACTGATCAGTATTTCCTCGCGGAACTTCCGTGTGTGTCGTTCACTCATTCTCGCTATGGCCCTGAAGGAAGTGCAGGGTTCAGTCGTGTGTCCCATCTCGATTGTATGTTCAGTGACTGATGATTTTGCTTTCATATCAACGACAGTCAATAAATAACATAGTCGTCGTCCAGCCCTTTCTGCGCACAGTTGTCATACCACCTGAAGGAAGCACTAGGGCTCAGATGCTGTCAGGTTGCTCAAGCCCAGTGAGGGACGCTCGAGGTGCCGAGGTATGGTTCTAAACATACCATCTTGCTGTGTTCTTTTTTTTAAAAAAACACTAAGATTATCCTAAAATGCCACCCGACAGCTACTAGCGAGGGGGTTGGTCACACATGACCCTTTTTGACTATGTCGCGGTTTCACGTATTTACCATGCACTAGGCTGCATAGGACAACCGTCAGGTGAAAAGGTGGGTAATTTGGTATAGTTTAGGCATTTGTTACACGCCCAGGGATATTGTTCCACCAAGTCCCGCTTGGTTGGTAGTATGGTTGGCCTCACCCAATTTTTCGGCCTTATGCACCGCGAATTTCTGGTAGTTTTTCTCAAATTCCGTTGCGCTTTGCTCCCTTTGTCCGGGATTTGTACAGGTGATCTCTCTCTCTCAAATACCAGCTGTTCTGTACTAATTAGCTATCCAATTTGTTTGCCTGGTTTTTTCGTCCTCAGCTTTGCTTTCTAGCTGTCCGAAATAGGGTTCTGTTCAGTCGTCTAGCCAGTCCTATGCGATCTGTTCCAAGCACGTACTATCATGGTCGCTTTTTATTCGTTATGATTAAATTCCCAAACCCTACGTGGCGGTACGTACGAGGCCCAATAGGGTTCTGTTCAGTCGTCTAGCCAGTTCTATGCGATCTGTTCCAAGCACGTACTGTCATGGTCGCTTTTTGTTCGGTATGATTAACTTCCCAAACCCTAGGTGGCGGTACGTACGAGGCTGCTCAATACTCTTCGAAAACCCACCACCGGTTTCGCCGTGCTTCAGACTCAACAGCATGGTCTCGGAGTTTCCGTCAACCCTATGTTCTATTTTAACCGAAATTGCACGCAGTTGGCGAACTACACTTGGTTCCAAACTAACTTGGTGCTAACGGGAGACACAGCTGAATCTCTAGTTTATGATATTCTCTAATTGAATATGCTGCGCAAAAGCCGCCTCATATTTTAGCTAGTAAGGTGTCCGAAATATCGCAGCATATTTTCCTAACGGGACGCTACTCACAAGATTGCTAAAAACTCGTCGACAGCCCAGCACCAGTTTAGTTCTTCTCGGTTTGGGGCTTATTAGATAGGAATAATCCCCGAGTTTCCAACAACTTCATGTTCTTTCGGCTCGGAATTCGCGAGACACGCCAAGAGAGACCTAGCGGAATCCCTTGTTTATGATATTCTTTCGCTGATTGTGCTGTATAAAGGATGCTCCTTATCTCAGTTAGGACGGTATTCCAGCGATGTAAGTATATTTTTATGAAACTGCCTTTGTGCAACACATTCAAGTTGAAGGATATCACATTCGAGGCATTTAGCTTGGACTGAGTTGTGTCTTCTGTTACAAATAAATTAGTTTGCAAATCGGTATGTTTTGCGAATTACACATTCCTCTAAGCAACTATCGATGTAGACTTGAGGGTGGCTTGAGGTTTTCGTTGGTTTGAATCCGGTCCCAATGGGAATCCATTCGTCACAATTGTCTCACACTCAGTGTAGTTTCGGTACAGTTGAATGTTTTTTTTTCACGTTTCTGTAGATTCTTCACTTCATATCCCCGCTGTATCCGATTCCACAATCGGCGTGTATCAGTGCATCCAGCCGGGAACAGATGGAGACGAATGGGCCAGTGCACAGGCGATCGTTCATTACGATTATGATGCGATTCTGCGTAAAGGTAAGTAAATTTTGGATGTGGACCTCATACGTAGCAATTGGTAGGTTCAGTTCGCCTGGGAAGGGATCTCGGGTTTGGGGCTGGGGCATTAATCGCTGAGTTGCAACAGTGCCGCCTGCTGGACTTCATGTGTGCAGTCAAGCTTATGTAAACATCCGTCATCACATCAAGGCGCTAATGGGAAACTTGTGATTAAGGGGTTTTCGGGAACAGCTACGGAACATAGGGCCGAATTATCTTTGCCGCACGCTTTGTAAGCTCTAATAACCATTCAGGTGATAACTCTCCCTAATCAGTAGAATCACCCGTATCGTTTGGTAGAATTAAGTGACGCCGCAGACAGATGTCAACTCTTCTCAAGATCATTTCCCCAGCAGCGTCGAATTGTTCTCCAAACCCATAGAAGGACCCTACGCTTATTTTGAACTTTATGTCACATCTCCCCTGGTAACTTTGCTACTTACTTCACTCCGTTCTTATTCTTCTTCAGCCGATTTCGACCGAATCACCTCCGAATCTCGCAGGCCTATTCACTTGCCGCCCATTCTACTCTCTGTCCCGACTGGTAAGTCCACTCGGCTGAGCTGCACTCTCTCCGGACAAAATCACAGTATCCCAGCCGGTGTTCTCACATCCGATGTACTACCCGGTATTAGTTCAGCAGCCAAACGACTACGGCTAGCCGAAGCTTTGAACTATGTTCAGATTCACTGGAAGAAAGATGGAGTTCAACTGCAGTTGCCAACACAGCAATCGTTGCTGCCACCTGACGAATTCGAGCTCGATGTGGTACGATCACGTGACTTTGGCGTTTACGAATGTACGGTGACTACGACCAACAGTCGTGTTCTTTTTACGCAAGTCATCCACGTAAAACCCTCGGAACCCTGGGCTACTAATCAAGGTAGGCCGCCCTTTTCGTTTTAACTAGTACCTTATCTCGCCCAAGCTATGGGACATTGGCTTTTATGTTCATGCCACGGCCAATTTTGGCGGCTTGTTATTGTCGAATATACTCAGCCGAGAGTCAGAATTTGATACTAGGAGGCTGGTTCGAGTGAGTACCCGGTGGAAGCCCTGAATTTTTCACGTGATCCGTGGGTATGCACGCTGTTGATGAGTTTTGGTGCAAGACGTAGTTACTGTTATCTCCTGGTTGTTCCAAACAATCAGGTGGAAATCTATATCGCTGCGGCGCGCACCGATTCAAACATCTCAACACGACATTATAGTCTACAGGTATCTTGACAAAAGATACCGCGTCAAAAAAGGGACGGATTAATCCCATGAAACAATGACCAACCTGGACTGTCCAGGCCACTGCCCGTTCTTTGAGGTCTCTTTTGGAAGAACTGTTGTGTCGGAGATGTACATGAAACTTGTGTGGTCCCCGAAGCAAAGATTTTTGATTCACTCGAGGTGTTCTTCCACCGTTTTGTATTCTTGAGGGTTGGGTAGAGCATCAACTTAGGACCTGCTTCTGATGAGCTGTGCAAATATTACACGCACTGGAATCAGATAACACGGTTGGGTGTGTTCGATGGTTACCATAACTACATTAGCAGGATGTAAACACTTATATGGTACAGTACTAACTTGCCCTTTGTCCCAGTTGCTGGGACATTCACTGTCTAGGCTGTCAGGGGATAGTTTGATCGGGAACACTTCCCATAGATTGATGAGGTCGTTTGTTGGATGAATTTGAAGCCAAGTCATGCTTTTGTGTTTGGTTTTGCATAGGTCATTTGAATGTGCTCATCATCTTTAGTATGGTTAAGCGGTGCCGATCATGGTACACCTCATGGGGGAGAGCGTCCACATCAGCGTGCCTTGTTTTTTTTTTGTGATCACATTGACAAACTCAGGGGATGTTGGTTGCTCTGTTTCCATTTGTTGAACGTTTTCGGACAGACGCATTCCACCACATTTTCAGCGAGCGAGCGACATTTCTCTTCAAGCGAACGTGTGAACTTTTGACAGCCACCTATGCTGTCCGCACCGGTAATGTCGATTTTCACCACTACTATTTATGTTGTGAAAAACCGGGAGCATAGTTCAGCTGCCTCACCCGTGTGAAGCTCCTGATCTGGTAGCCGTTATCACACTCTTCTCGAATCTTTCCAAGGAACTGCAGCTGACTAACAGACCGTCCACAAGTGCAAATCCGCAAATTATTTAAGTGGCAAGCTGTTCCTAATTTGAACACGTTCAAATTTAATTCGATTAGAGTTTGACGAATTTCATTGCCTAAACTGCAGTGAAGCATCGGTGTTGAACACGGATGTCATGCTATCGATGATTATGGTGGTGCTGAACAATCCCAAGCTAATGTGTGTGAGCTATATGTAGAACTCCTTTTCAGGAACTGGTTGCTCTGTTTCCATTTGTTGAACGTTTTCGGACAGACGCATTCCACCACATTTTCAGCGAGCGAGCGACATTTCTCTTCAAGCGAACGTGTGAACTTTTGACAGCCACCTATGCTGTCCGCACCGGTAATGTCGATTTTCACCACTACTATTTATGTTGTGAAAAACCGGGAGCATAGTTCAGCTGCCTCACCCGTGTGAAGCTCCTGATCTGGTAGCCGTTATCACACTCTTCTCGAATCTTTCCAAGGAACTGCAGCTGACTAACAGACCGTCCACAAGTGCAAATCCGCAAATTATTTAAGTGGCAAGCTGTTCCTAATTTGAACACGTTCAAATTTAATTCGATTAGAGTTTGACGAATTTCATTGCCTAAACTGCAGTGAAGCATCGGTGTTGAACACTGATGTCATGCTATCGATGATGGTGGTGGTGAACAATCCCAAGCTAATGTGTGTGAGCTATATGTAGAACTCCTCTTTCAGGAACCGAAACATACCTCGACGTTACCGTCCAGTATTTGACCCGCCCGCTCCTTAACCGTATTTCTCTCCAGTCTAGAGTTGAAGCATGCCTTTTGTTGTAGTCTCCTTGCATCTCCAATATTTCTTTGTGGTATGTGTAGTAAAATTGTGGCTGCTGTAATTTCAAAGTCATAATTACATTCAACTGTCGCTTGATTGACGCGAATTGGTTCGAATAATACTCCGCTGAAAATGATTTATCAAGAGGAAGAAACATTACGACCAGAGCACTTCCAGTCTATCCCATACATGACACCAGGCTGCGACAGCAACCGTTGTTCTGAACTCTATACTAGAGTGGCTTCGTTTCCAAGGCGATATCACCCATTGTCATCTTCACTTGTATAGGCCGTGTACAGTGGTCGTGGTTTTACCTACCACAGTTTCGTTCTCTGATGGTCTGGTGCGGTTCATGAATACAGGAGTGTCAGTGGACTTTTCATTGGGAGAGGAAGCTATGCATTGAAAGCGACAGCTCGGATTCGTACCCGTGACTAGCCCATGTCTGCCGTTATCTTTAACATTTGATGTGTCTCGTCTCGGGGTCCCCATCCAAGGAGGCGGCGATGGCGGGCGCAGCGGAGTTCGGTGGTAAACGTCATCATACTCTGCTGCCAAGTGATTGGTTGACCTCCTCTGACTGGTTTCCACCCCCCGTTTGCGAAATGTGCTGTTCGAGGGAGTCAATCGACTAGCATGCGGAGCACGTGATTAAGGTAGCGCAAACTATGGATGTCGTTGCAATGCGTACTGCGCGTGTTCCGTTTTTCTGCATCCACCCCCACGTACTGTGGTCAGTTTTGTAACCATATGCAGTTGATTCTCTCCCACCTGTATACTAACACATCAGTTATCCCACCTTCTTTCCATAGGCTCCAACCTGGATCCTTCGTTGCAGAATTTCCAGTTTAAATCCGAAATTCAGAGCATGGCAAATGAACTGAGACCGATGGCGGGCTTGACGAGCATGGATGATCAGGGTGACAGAGGTAAACGGAATACGCAACAGGCTCTGCGTTCTTCAGTTGCAGATCCGTGGTATTCCGGTCCAGTCGATGGTTTACATAACGAAGCGTTTCATGACATGAATCCGGACGCTTGGCTCAACAGTGATCCCGAAACTCCCGGACACATCTCTCGTTCCCTCTCTGACAGTGACTCTGGTAAGCGAATGGTCTGTCTAGATCGAATCGGCTGTCTTGTTCAGATGCTCCACAGAACGGTCCACCTAAGTTCTCCGTTCCCAACGCAAATCGAAAGCTGACCTACAAAATAAATATCAATAACCGTTCAGCCGTCGCTATGCAAGCCAAAGGAAGCACGAAAGCTGAAATACTGCCAGGCTGTCCAAGCTTAGACAGGAGCAGTCGAGATGCCGCGGTGTTGGGTTCGAACCACGGACCTTCTGGTCAGTAGGTTCGCGCCTTAACCACTGAGCTATCTCGAGCTATTAACTAAATCATATCCCTTGAGTGTCATGCTCATCCTTACCTCGCACCGCACTTTGTGGGCGAGTTGATTTGCCCAAACAGAATCCCATATTTTTCAAGGTACCTTCCTGCTCCTTTCTTCCGACTGATCTGCATATGAACACGTAATTAATACCTTTGTCCTGAAGTCCCTACAGTCTAACGATCTCTCTTTGTTGCCGTCAGCAGATATTGCTACCGTACTAACGTTGGTCATTACTCTTCCATGACCCAAAGCGTAAGTAATTAATACCTTTGTCCTGAAGTCCCTACAGTCTAGCGATCTCTCTTTGTTGCCGTTAGCAGATATTGCTACCGTACTAACATTGGTCATTACTCTTCCATGACCCAAACGGATGCTTGGTCCGTCTTCCCTTGAGAGGACGGAACCTTCCATTTCCAGTGCGGAAAAAATGCGAATCACCAAAAAACATCTTAGCTGAAGGCTTTTCAAGCTGTACTGCAACAAACGCGCCAGTTTGCGAGACTTTGCTTTAAATGGGTTGATTCTGTTACGTATTCTCTGCTTCAGGAACTTCATCGGTCACTCAGTTGCTTTCTTCAACATGTTCTATCGGAACTTTTTGGGTTTCTGCCTCTTTTTCGTAGTGAGCGGTTCGGTGTAAATTCTATCCTAGTAGTATCCCTCGTTATTGTCTTCTAAACTCATCATTCAGCTGTAGCTTCCTTTCGGTGCCCAACTGCCATGCCAACAGAGGGAAACACGAGGACTGGAATACTGCTAGGTTGCCCAATCCTAGACAGGGGGAGTCGAGAGGCAGAGGTCAGGTTCGAACCACAGACCTTCTGAACAGCAAGTTCGACCTCTAACCACTGAGCCATCCCTTCTAGAAAGGTCTTAACCGCTTAAAGTGTCCTCAAATATCTACCGATTCATGTTTGGGCTCTCTTTGGGATGTCTACTTTCGTTTGTGGGAAGTAAATCCCCGACGTTCTGTGATACCATGAAAGGTGGAAGCTGTCCAATGTTTTTTTGTTTCAGGTGTCTCTCGTCTGTCCAAACCCAATGCAGAACCAGTTGGTGACAATTTGGCGGTTCTTATCTCCTGGTCGCCTATACCGACAGACTACTATCAAATTCAATACAGGCACCGGCTACCTATCGATCAGCGATGGTCCAAGGCTTTTACGGCTGAAAGTGTGGTGAGTGGTTTGAATTGAAAAGGTTTTTTCTTGAGTTTAATGAAGTTAAGCTTGCGTTGGGCAGTTTTATGTCCATGTTTCTTTTTTGTCAACGTCCCCTTACTATGGGACGCCGGCGGTTCTTTTGAGCTTGGAAAGCGGAATGTCCCTCTCGTTTTTTATCTGTTCGCCGAGATTTTTCTCCAATATGCTAATCAGTGATCGCAGTAGCCACAACTTGACACATGCTCATAGATTACTTCATCTGCACACCTCAGCTGTGAAGAGTCCATTCGTCCTTGTCAATATCAGCGGAGAATCCGCTCGATAGGCTCAACTTATTCTCTCGCTTGTGATTGTGTTCAACTTGATGTGCTACACAGGTGCCACCTTATGTTTCAGTTGGCATGGTTTTCAAGATACCAGTGTATGCTTCCTTGTCATAACACACCACTCGTAGTTTGTAAGTGAAAGTATTTGCCAATGATGTACCACTTAGTGTTCAAGTTGAACAGAAGATTGACTGAAACCACGGGATGGCACCAATATGATGAGCGGCAAAACAAACGAAGCCTCAGTAGGCAATCGAAAGTAGTTCGGCGACTTTACGAGTAGTGTGTCATGCTTGGAAAATGCCGCACGTCTCCCTGGAGTTAACCATTTAACATGCAGCGTCCGCTGAAATATAGAATATGGCCTGTAATAAAACACTGTTTGGTCAACCTTCTGCAACTCTGACAAGCTAAGCGGCATAATGATGTGCGGAGATTCGGTCATTTTTAATGAGGATTTCATCCTGTAAGTGAAGCCAATCTCTGCTAAGAGGACGAAAGGCGCCGTTTCATCCGTGTCGGGAACCATGATCAGTTCAAAACTCGAAACTCAAAGAGTTTCGAACCCACAAGTTCCAGGCCATTGGCTGAACGCCTACCCGTTCGGTCAGAAGTGGTCAATCAGCAGTGTGATTAGCTCTCACTTAAACCAAATATATAGCACCGCTTATCCTTCAGTCACAGAAACCACCTCACGTGATCATGCTTTGATTGGCTGCTTGAATGACGACTCTTCACTAATGTGAAAAGATTCTCTGAACTAATTATAGACTGATCATGGTACGAGGAGACTTGGTATTTCTCAGTAAAGATGAATGAATCTGTTTCCTGTCTAAGTGAGAGCTAATTACGCTGCCGATCAGCCGCTCCTAGTCGGAAAATTAAGTGCCCAAACACTGACCGGATGATCGTGGGTGTGATAACATGTGCATTGGTGATGATTCCGAACAATGACGAAACAGTTGTACATTACCTCTCAGCCTTTTAATTCAGCCTAGATTGACTTCACTGATAGTATGAAACCTATACTGAAAATGATAGAAGCAGTAGCGTACCGGTGGAAAATCATCGTTTTTTTACAACCGTTCGCAGGTTTTCCCTTCTTTAGGTGTGATGTATTCATTTGCCATGCACGACGCATTTAAGACGCTTTGCGACTTTTGGAGCATATAGGGTACGCTTTCCAGCTCCGTCTTCCGAGTTGAGGAATTTCACACGAACACCAGTGAATAAAAACCGTAATCGTTCAGCTGTAACACTTTTTCGGTGCTTACCCGCCATGCTACTCAAAGGGAACAAGAGCGCTGAGATCCGACAGGTTGCTCAAGCCTAGAAAGAGGCAGTCGAGGTATCCCCGGAGGGTGGATTCAAACCGCGGACCTTCCGGTCACTAAATTCGTGTCTTAACCGCTGAGCCATCTCGTGCTCTAATCCAGCATGTTGTTTGCCCAACAGCTAAACCGTACACAGAATATCAATGTAGGCATCTAAATTTGGAGTGCCAACTGTATGTAACCCCAAAAACCACATCGAATGTGTGGAACTTGCGGACACACCGCACGAACTTGTACTCCAAGCCCATTTTCGTAAAGTGCTGTTCGCTAGAACTTTTGGAGCACGTAGCGACTACCGCTCGCGTGATCATAAACATGTCATGGAACAACTTTGTTCATGTCTGAATGGACAGTAATCCTACCCTAATGACATCGGTATGCATAGATGCCATAGATAAAGACCTACCTGCCACCCTACTGTATTCGTTGGGGACGGTGCAATCTGCCGTATCCTTCAGTCTGTTGTCGCCTCCAATGACTATCTTAAGGTGCCTTGTGATTACACTCAACCAAACCTCTTGAAAATAGCACATCTTCATAAGGTTACGATTTCGGGCGACATTGTGCTCCCCTCACACACAAATGGTCAGCGAACAGCAGTTGGTGTGTTCTGTTACACATTGCGGTACAGAATGTATGCTGTGGTCTGCTTCGAGCATTTCTACTAATAGCCCAAACTTTTCGAATGTGTAGACCGAAAGGAACTCTTCCTATTCCTCACATTTTCTGATCTCTGTTTCCTTCAATTGCCGTCATTTGAACATTCCCAATTTATGCTTTCCATCTCCCTCCTACTCGTCTGGGATTGGATTCAGATCAAAGAATGTTGTGGCCAGAATCCAGCTTGTTGCACCCAACAGAAACAGTTCTATTTCACAAGTCGTCAACCAGCCAGTCTAGAGCCTGGCCGTCGGTACCAGTTTCGTGTGGTGGCTTATGTCCAACAGTCAATCATGGGCAAAAGTCCATGGTCTCAGACAATCAGCTTTGAGTATATTTCCAAGGTTGCGCCTGTATTTACGGAAACCGAACGACTGGTAAGCCACCGCTTTCTTTCCTGCAGCTTTTTTCCGCATACAACCTCTGAGCAGTTCCAAATTTTCATGTCCTTCGGAAGAACCAACCAAACAATCAGCTGAAGCTTTTTTAGTCCCATACAGGGACAAACGAACCACGATCCTTAGATGGCTGGGAAAGTGCTTGTCAGTTAATTCTAGCCCGATGCAGCAAGGAAATTATGCTATTCGAGTCCTCATACCGTAGGAAATTTGTTGATCGATGAAACATTTGCCTTGTCGAATTACATTGTAACTTCACGAGAATTCGGTCACGTGATTCTATGTCGTCATCATCCTTATTTAAAACGTCAAACAGCATATGTTTATGGTTTCCGCCATATGAAACATAGGTCATGTACTCACGCGATACTGAATGACCAATATTTTAGCTGCCTGCTTTGCCTGTTTCGACGAGGTTTTCTCCTACATATTCCGTAATTTACATTTTATCATCCGTAGCCCGATGGAGGAATGGTCGCGCGATGGACTCTGTCTACCTCGGCAGTCGGATTTCCCATCGATCATTTTTTGCTCCTGTGTCGTAAAGAAGAACGGTATTCGAATGGGACCGTGACGTACAGTCCTTTTCAACATATATTTGTTCCAGGATCAGATACTCGAGTGAGTTGTTCTCTGTGTTTTGTCAAACCACCGTAATTGAGCAGTCTTTCTACTGTCTGTGTCTAGCGAGGCTTCTCGTAAACACACGCCTTCAGAGCTGTGTTGTTGCCGTGGATTACAGTCACCTACCCATTGCACATCTCTTGTTTCTGCCGCCGTCGGTTATGTTACCTTCGCATTTTCAAACTCTATGCACGCTACCTGAATAAGTCGAAATGCTATGCTCTATCTCAAAATCCATTTGTTGTTGTCGTTCGTACACTTATAAAGCAACTTAACTGTCATGTGTGACCCACATTCACTCCGAATGGTCCTGTCTCATAACCTGATTTTGTCGTGGTAACTTCTTGACCGTTGTTTAACTTGGGTCCCGCTCGATCCACACACATCCAATAGATGTTGTCCTTAGGCACAAAAATAGTAGTGGTTCAACATTCCTTTTGTTTTTGTGCTAGGTATCCAGTTCGTGGGTACCATGCTGCTGCTCTTTGGCTTAGTAACAAACGACTTTTGGAACTCTCTCTACGCCTGCTTGCTGTTATCTCAAATGCACCTAGACAAGATTCATTGCCTAAGGGTCGAGTGCAGTGCGTGGGGGGGGACTATGTGGGACTCGTATTTAGAACATTCCTTCTGCATAGTTTATAGAGCTGAGTTTATCGACAGCTAATAAACATTAATCAATAGATGATTGGGTTGACGATAGCCTTCTTTCATTGTGCCTCTCATATCCCTATGAAAAGAATGTGAAATGACCCGATACCCTATCACCCGTCTTCATCGGACCGCAGCTGTTCCTAATTCATGCAGCACACACATTTGTCCTGCAAGAGTTCATGCCTTGAAGCGGACACCTGGATTCTTACCATTCATGCTATTGGTAGCACTTCAAATCGCCTAAGTGTTCACTCTTTACTTCACATTTAAGCCATACTTATCGCTTTGTCATCTCTGCCAACGCTGCAAGTTACCTCCCCGGACGACCACCAATCAACCACACATTTGCGCTATTCGTCAAACACTATTAATGTGGTAAATTGCACATCTCCATTCATTCCAGATAGCTCAGTGCTTAAGGCGCGAAATTACTAATATGGAGGTCCTCATTCCAGATAGCTCAGTGCTTAAGGCGCGGAATTACTAATATGGAGGTCCGTGGTTCGAACCCAACCTCGACATCTCGTCTGTCCCTGTATCAGCGTGGGCAACTTTGCAGTATCTCTGCCCTCGTACTTTCGTTCGGTGGCTTGGTAGATTAGGCGTGGCAGCTTCACAATTAGTTACCATTAAATTCTAACACATCTGATTGTTTTGTTTGTGCGTTGATTTCACTGAGTCCCCCATGTCAGGTGACCTGTACTTTTAACCGCAGGCTTCAATCGATGGTTTGTCATTTTACTGTTTAAGATCATATCGCCGCCAGATTCCAGCCAGATGCAGTACAAATCAAACTGCAACCGGCGGCAATAGAGAGCGTGACATCTTTCTTCATCATTCTTCCGTTCTGCTACCGGAACGATCCTATGAGTACTGAAAAAATCAGTTCATATCTGTCATGCACGTTTATTCGATGATTGCGCACTTTCCACGAAAAGCACAAGTCCCTGGAAAGGACACCTTCGAGATTATGTATATATGCGCAGGGTTGTCAAGCTCTCTTAACCAAACTGAGCTGGGGAGTTGTGGCGGGCTCAACTCATTTCACTGTTCATCCATCACTCATTATGTTTCTAATGCTCAGCAATGCAGGGAAGATGAATTGAAGCTTAGGACGGACGAATCGTTGTGTGTTTCAAGGCTCGTACTTTCAGCACGATATTCTTCTGGCGGAATATGTTTGCACCAGACTCTCGTTAAACTAACAGAATGACAGATGACGATATGCAGCCCACAGCAAAAATGTGTAACTCGTAGCTCTAACCCTATCGAATGGAATGAAATGACTTTTGTGCAAGCGGTGACGTATTCAACCAAACTCGCAATTTCTTTGTACCTAGTTGCGAATCGGCTTCCTGTATCAGGGTACAATTGAACATTGACATACGCTCCACCAGTGGCGTTGTGAAGTGAAATATCCTAGATGAACGTGAAATACACATTTGCAAACATTTGGTGTATGCTTAGAGACAGCATAAGCGAGAGATTCAGCTGAGTTCCAGGTGAGTCTCTAGGGAAGTCAAATTTGTATGCAAGTGAGTGCCTTTCGCTGATTTCGTACAATTTGGGTTCAAGTAGAACATAAAGTTGGCGGAAACTTGGGGACTGTGCCTAATTGGTGGGCCCGAAGTGGAAGGGCGAAACTTGCCGTGAGCTGTCGAAGAATTTTCAGCAACCTTATAGGTAGTGTATCATGCCTGTAAATGAAGGTGCTGAAAGGGTGTACTATGATGTGATCTATCTCGAACTGTGTGGATGCACATGTTCTATGATATCTTTACGTGCTGCTCTCCTAGATTGGTATCCGATTTGATGGGCTCGGCAGCGGAAATCCTAACTGCCATGGACTGGAAGTCTAGTGTACATTAGCACGCTGATTACCAATCATTTTTCTAACGGTATACCTCGAGTTTCCTACTGTCTCCGCACTCATCTTCAGCTTCATGTACCTAGCTGGCCGAATACCAAGCCAAGAAGTAGTACATTCTTGACGCAGTGCTGTACTCATAAGGTTGCTGAAAACTCTTCGACAGCCCATGATCTCACTCACCTTTCTTGAGGCTCATCAGGTAGGCTCAGTCTTCGAGTTCTACTTAAACCCAAATTTCGTGAGATTAGCGAAATACACTCACTTACATACGAATTTGGTTTTGAGGGTAGACTACATGGAACCCGCTGAATCTTTCGTTTATGGTGTTAAAAACAGGTGAGTCTTTGCTCAAAACCAAATAGGTATGCAAATAAGTGTATTTCGCTAGGGATACGCTTTCCTTCATTCCGTTTTCCGGTCCAGTTGATGACAAGCATGTTTGGCGCAAACACATCCATTGGCAGAAACAGTGAGAGAAACTTAGCCTCCTCGTGAATGATTCACCGTTCAGCAGCAAATTTCACCACATAGTACTAAGTTGCTAATTTGTGGCAGAGTTCTCCGATCCTGATTATTTGGAAGGGACTCTGAGTCGCAGCGTATGAGCTTGGAACCTGATGCGGTTGATTACTATGAGTGTGGTTATTTCGGATTCCGTGGTCGCGTGCTGTCACGTGAACGCTGAGCGATTGTCGGGGTTCAGAAGTCAGGTTCTGATTATATATATATATATATATATACATATATATATATATATAAATATGGTCGACAGATCTTGTGAATTCTTCTGTATTCTCATTCGATTTTCGCTTTCTTCTAAGGTCAGTCAGCTGCATCATTTTCCATTTCCCGATTTTGCTCCCGATACACATCCCCTTGCGACTGTACACCGCTTACGACGATGTGTGCAAACTTTCACTTTTCAAGGTTAAATTGGTGGGTGTCGTGATTGTAAACCCAGGTTGTCATATAATTTTATGGGAATAGGGCGGATTTTTCTGCGGTGTATACAGAAACCCATACATGGACACACCCTTCGAAACCGACGGATGTAAGGTGCACCTGGCCTCCATCTGTTGAGTTCCACACGAACCTTTGCTGTCCGTTTCATCTAGAGTTCTTTGAAAGTGTGTTTGAGTAGTCGAGATTTCCGACTTCAGCATATCTTAATTAAATTCCCCACTCTCTAAAAACCCGTGTCATACTCCCATAGTATTGGTCCCTCGGAGCTTAAAGTGACTTAAAGTGCTCTTTGTTACTCTATCTCCAAACCCATCTCCCGAGTTTTTCCTGCCGATGTATTACCGACTTTTACTTTCATATTCTCACCTAGGAGTGTAAGCTGCACAATTTGGAACCGGGTAAAGGCTACCAGTTGGTAGTTTACGGTGTTCACACCCCACCTGGAATGGATCCACAGGCTGTCGTGTTCAAAGGTGGTATAGGTGGTCGACGGATCACGCAATTCAGCCACGAGATATTCGTCAAACCACAGGTAGGTCGTGTTCAACCAGTTGAACGAGGTTTACCCACCGACCGTGCTTCCTGTGATTTCTACTTGTCCTATTCGTCTTTTTCAGGTCACTCCTGGTGAGATTAGTGTTCCCGAAACGCACCATGTGAACTCGGGAACAGGTCAA